GAAAGTTTATGCTCTTCATATTATATTTATGCAGAGGTTTTGACAGGTGTTTCTAAAGGTAAACAAGTATTTGTTCCTAAAATTCAGTTAGCTCCGTCGGATTCTAATTTACCTTTTGTTCTCAAACGTCGCCAGTTTCCGGTCCGATTGGCATATTCTATGATAACTAATAAAAGTCAAGGTCAAACATTTGATAGAGTTGGTGTTTATTTTTAAAAAAACATGTTTCTCTCATGGTCAATTATATGTAGCGTGTTCAAGAACAAGAGTGTTTAATAGTTTATTTTTTAAAGTTGATAAACATCCTATTGAAGGTATGGTAGGTGAAAAATGTTATACAGATAATGTTATATTTCGAATGTTCTTAATTTATAGTCTTTAGATTTTCATTTCACAAAAGGTTGAGGGCACATTTTGTATGTATAACTTTATTTATTATTTTAATTTTTTTTTTGATAGTTTTTGATAAATATCTTTATCATTTAATATTGCTATAAAATGTGTTTATATGTGTTATATAATATCATATTTGTTTATAGTTGTATATATGTTTAAATTATGTTGTTTCTATGTTTTCAAAGTGGTGTGACTTAGCAAGTGTGTTGAGCAAGTTTGATAACCTTGCCAGCCAAGCGGTGTACTTATAGCAGAGGTGTGACTTGGCAGCATTTAGTGCGAGTCGGTGTTACTGCTTTAGGTTACTGAGCTAGGTTGTAATGTCTAGCCTTTTTTAATTATTCTGAAAACACATAATGTCTGTTAATGTTTAGCGTAATGTGTATGAGAGAGTATGCAACCTTAATCTTTAAATCTAGGGTGCTTTAATGTCCTAAATGTGAAATAATTGAATAACTAACATTGAACATTAAAACAAATATACCTTTTTAAAGTTTAGTAAAAAGGCACATATAGTTAACTCTAAATTGGCTTTTTAAATTTTGCTATTCATATTTTCAATTTGGTTTGTTATTTCCACTGGATTTTAGGATCAAGGGTGCAAATATGCTTTGTGCTATTGTTATGTGTTATTTTTGTAATGTTGTTGTGATGTTTTGTGTTGATAGACAGCTTGGCTTACCTTTCCATTGGTGTCTATTATATACAAATAAATAATAGGTAGTTTCATTATTGGAACTTACTGCTTTTATTTATTTACTAAAAGCCAAGAAAACATTTTGCTAAAAATGTAATTTTTATCTTTGATTTTTTTTTTTTTTTTTTTAGTATTGTTAATCTTTTTGTACTTCGAAACAGATTTTATAGTTACATTTTCGATTAATGTTTATATTAACTGCAATATCAAGATAGGTTACTATAAATAGGTAAATCGATTTTCGGTTTTTATGTGCTGTTTATGTTCGGTTTTTATGTTTTTTTTATATCTTTTTTTTTGTAATTATGATATTATATTTCCATTACTTTTTTTTTTTAGATTCACGATATGACATATACAATTTAAAAAAAAAAAAAAACTGATTTCCTTTTATTGTTAGTTAAAAAAATATCAATATATACAATTAGTTTAATTTTTTTATATTCTCTCTATTTTATTCCTAATAATTTATTGTGCGTACCTTAAGAGATCTTTGTAAACGGGGGGTGAGGGTTGTAACTAAAAACAAATTTAAAAACCTTAAAAAACATGGAAAATATTTTAGTTTTGCACATTTGTCAAATATTGAGTTACTTAAGTTTTATTTAACGTTTTTAACTAATTAATTAGCTTAGTCTGCATTTGCAACACTTTTGAGGAAAGAAAGAAAAAATTCTTATTTATGTAAATCATTGTTTTACATTTTATTATTTTGGTTAATGGTTAATATAATCTTCATAAAAAACTTGATTATTCTTAATACCACAACAGTGCATTATTAGAGAAAATGAATCAATTGTTGAAAAAATATTTAGAGATGCTTAACAAGATGATTATGCTAAACGTATCATTTTAACACCCACAAATGTGGATTCATTGTCAATAAATGAGGAACTGCTTGAACATCTACATGGAGAGGTCAAAACTTATTTAAGTGCTGATCAAATAGACACTGACGATCTTAACGAAATAAATAATTTCCCTGTTGATTGTTTGAACAGCTTAACTCCTTCAGGTATGCCTACTCATAGTTTAAAATTGAAAATTGGTTGTGTAATTATGCTACTTAGAAATTTAGATCTTAAAGCTGGGCTATGTAATCGCACCCAAATTAAAGTTTGTGCTTTCCAAAACAATTATATTGATGCAGAGGTTTTAACAGGTGTTTCTGAAGGTAAACAGGTGTTTGTTCCTAGAACTCAGTTGGTTCTGTTGGATTTTAATTTACCTTTTGTTCTCAAACGTCGCCAGTTTCCGGTCCGATTGGCATATTCTATGACAATTAATAAAAGTCAAGGTAGAGTTGATGTTTATTTTAAAAAAAAACATGTTTCTCTTATGGTCAATTATATGTAGCGTGTTCAAGAACAAGGATTTTTAATAGTTTGTTTTTTAAATTCAATAAACATCCTATTCAATGTATGGTAGGTGAAAAATGTTACACAGATAATGTTATATTTTCGAATGTTCAGAATTTTTAGCTTTAAAATTTTATTTTAACTATTTAAATATTATTTTAAATATTCTTTCTTGCTATACCATACAATGATATTTTTATTTGTGTCTATTTCTTGCTATACCATACATTTTTATTTGTGTTTTTTACTTCAGATCTGTCTTATGACGTATTTTTAAATTACAAGGAAAGAAAAGCAGGACCCACACCCTACAGAGGGTTTGGAAATTATTGAATCATGTCTTATAACATTTTTTCTTTTTCTTTCCTCTTTGTTTATTAAACATGTATTTTTATCATTAAATAATTAGCTTCACTATTGCTGTTTCTTATATATTATACTTTTTTTTATAAATTGCTTATATGAAAATATTTTATGATCTATAATAATTTAGAAGGTATGTTTTTATTCAAAAGTTATTCATGTTTTGATTAATATATTCATTAAATAAAATAATTTCTTATAAACAATTGCATTTCATCAATCTTTGTATTAATATCATTAATATACTCATTAATAAAGCAATTAGAAATAGGTGAAATGACTTTTAGTCACATCAGATAACTTTGTTATTATTTTTTTGTTATTATTATTATTTGAAGGTTTAATAATGATAAAAAATTTTAGACAGTAGAACTAGTGCTGATTTTAGTAAGTTTGCTATATTTTTTTATTTTATATTTTTATTAGATTTTTTTAGGTTTATTCTTTATTAGATACATATTTTATTTATTTAACACAGGACACTGTCTGTGATTTGTTGACAAATAAGTTGATATACATAATTGTGCCTATATCCCAGTATATTTTATATTTTTCTGTATATGAATATTTGCTCTTAAAAAATAATAATATAAATATACTCTTGAATTCCTTTATTTTTTTTATTACATTAGAGTAAAATATATTTGCTGAAATTGCTTCATTTTTTACACCTTCAGATTATGTATTGTTGTCTAGATTCTTTGTTAAATTACAATTTATTGATGTAAATAAATATTGTTTTTTTTTTTTGATAAACTTATATATATAAACTTAAAAAAACAAATGGATTTCAAATAATCTTAAGTTAAAAAGTCTTTGATTAGAAAAAATCATTTGTAAGATTCTTTTACATTTTTTTATTATTCAATTGTAACAATAGTAATATTACTGGTAATATGGTTTCATATATGGTAATATGGTAATATTTTTGTAGTTAAACACTTTAGAACAATACTAGGCATGAATTTTACTTTTTATAATAACAGTTAATAATAGTTTTAAATTTAAATGATTTTAAATTTTTTACAAACTCAAACATAATTATGCTCTTTTTTTTAGTTGCCTTTGTTATCACTTGATTAGTTAGCTTACTGTTGAAACATGGTTTTAATTTTGTAAATTTAATGATATGAAATTTATTCTATAAATCATTAGTCAACAGTGAAAGAGAAGCTGAAACTTTACATAAAGGTAAAAATAACTTTGTTTGATCTTAGATAATAGTTAAATAAAAATTAGTACATGGAACACCAATAAAACTTATATAATTACTGAGCTCTTACATGTTTTTTAATACCACAAGTGATAATGACCATGTATACAAAATATTTTATGAGCTGCTTGCTATTTTATGATATAATTGTTCAAATTGTTTAACTATAATTGTTCAACATTGTAATAAATAAAATCTTTTTAGTTCAAGTATTTTAATTCATAAAATATCTTATTAAATTGTTGTGTTATACATTGTTGCATTATTTATCAAGTTGTCTAACCTTTTTATAATCTTTTCTTTTTTAATTATTTTGGAGAGATATGTAATGTTTACTTACAAATAAGTAATGTGACCTTACAAATATCTTATGCTATGCGCTATTGTTACTGTGTTTTGTGTTGATAGAACTATGCTGATACAGCAATTTTTTTAAGTCTTTATATCTTATTTCTACTAACAATGAAATGCAAATAATATTTTTGTAATAAAAATTTTAATTATTTTTCGTTTCTTTTTTTAGGCATTGGAAAAGCTTTACTAGACTTTTTTTTTATGGTACCTGTTGTGTTGTAACAAATTTTAAAAAGAACTTAACTGATGTTAATGTAGTCTTTTTTTGTCGTTAACTATAAGCAATGATTTAATTACTAATATTTTGGGTTGCTTACTGCTAATTATTTATTAATATTTTCTTTAGTTTTTTTTATCAATAATGTAAGTTAATATTTTTTTATTAACTTGGTTTAAATAATGTTAAACTTTTTTAATTTTTAAAATTTATTCCTACTTTAGTGTAAATATATTTAAATTGAATTTTTTTTTTTTAATTTCATTTGGAAATTGATGAATTAAATAAAGTGATCTTAAGTGATGGTCTATTAAATTTACTTCATAAGTTAACTTTTACCAAGAGTATGTATAAAGTTACCTTTGAAAATATAAAAATACAAGTGTCTATAAAAAAAGTTACCTCTGAAAACCACTTTGAGAACAAACTGTGACTGTTTATTTCTATAAGTTGACCATAACGAAATCTAAACATTATTTAGAAAAATTGTTATTTTTTATGCAGCATAAAAATAAACACCACTAATTTGTAAATTTTAAATATTTATTTACTTTTTTAAATATTTTTTTTTTAATTATAACTATGACAATGAGACTAGCATTTTTTTTTCATTTTGATTTTGTATTTTATTTCTCATTTCTCTTTTGATTCAAAATAAAGTTTTCTCCAAAATACTTATATATATAAATATTAAATATTTTCAATTCTAATCAAAATAAACTTAACTAAAATAATCAATAATTATCTGACAGCTTTATTGTCGAATAATTTTGGATTGAATATTTTTGTTGTAATACAACCACAAGAATGTTTATCATCCATGGTTTATCCTCCTACCCTTACACACAATAAAATCTAAGGTTTTGAATCAGAGGTGGATGTTAAAGTATAGTATGTTATTGTAGCCATGGTATTCGTGCCTAAATCCTAATTAATTAGGTTCACCTTTAACATTATCAGAATTTGTATCTTTTTAAATACCAACTACTAGAAAAATAATGTTATGAGATCACTACATTAATTATTTTCTTAAAATTAAGTAATCTATATTTTTTTCTTCATGTTAATTCACCTCTCTAAGACCATAAAGGAGGCTACTCTTTGTGAAACTAATTTGAGTTTATTTATGATTACAACCCTCTCTCAACTCTTTAACTTGGAAACACAAACCTTGATGAAATTTTAGTTAAACTTTGTCAAATGGTGATGACATGAAAAAAAAAAAAAAAAAAACAAGAATGCATCTTTTTCCTTTGGGGGAGGTAAATACCGTAAAAAAAAATAACTTCACCTTAAATTTTGCAGCTGCTTCACTTTATAAATTTGCAGATATGTTTATTCCAATATGATATTCAAAAAAAAAGAAGCTTAAATAAATTAAGGTGTGTTGATACTATTAGATTTACAAAGGCGCAACCCTTCGATTTGTATATATATATATATATATATATATATATATATATATATATATATATATATATATATATATATATATATATATATATATATATATATATATATATATATATATATATATTTACATATATAAATATATATATATATATATATATATATATATATATATATATATATATGTATATATATCTATCTAAATATATACACATATATATATTTATATAGATATATATAATATATAAATATATGTGTATATATATATATATATATATATATATATATATATATATATACATACACACATATATATATATATATATATATATATATATACATATATATATACATATATACATACATACATACATATATATATATATATATATATATGTGTGTGTGTGTGTGTGTGTGCGCGTGTGTGTGTATGTATATGTGTGTGTATATATATATACATAAATACATACATACATACATACATACATACATATATATATATATATATATATATGTATATGTATATATATATATATATATATATATATATATATATATATATATGTATGTATGCATGTATGCATGTATGTATGTATGTATGTATGTATGTATGTATATTACCATAGACTTCAGGTTTCCTGAACTCTGTGGTAGCTCTCAGAGAGGCTGATTCCATCAAAAGCTGAAAAATATCAAAGTACTAACAGTGCCATGTTGCACATGGAGGGTGTCCCTGTTTGTACTTTTCGCTTGCATTGCCAAGGCCACAATGCAGCCCTTTGTTACGACTTTATTAGTAGTAATGAGACAATTACTTGGGCTTTTACACAGTGTACTGAGTACTATCTATGCTTTGAGTAAAAAAAAAACTATAAATCACTAAAAACCATTGTCATCACCAAGTTTGCTAAACCTATCATTCACTAATATTTGTGGTCTTCGAAATAACTTTTCTTCTGTTGAGTCTTATCTCTTGTAAAGTTCACCAGACCTATTTGCTCTTTGTGAGACTAATTTGAATTCAGCTGTCTCATCTTGTGATCTTAGAGTTGATAGTTATCTTCCTTTAATTTGTAAAGACTCCAATAGTCACATGCTTAGCCTGGGCATTTACATTCGTAGGAATTCACCTATTTGTCGGAAAACTAGGTTTGAATCCACAGACTACTTTTTTATGTGCTTTCGTTTAGCACCACTTCACTCTATCACCTTTCTCTTTGTTTTATATTGCTCTCCTTCATCTCAAGACTGCACTCTTCTTGATGTTATTTCTGATCATATTGACCAATCCCTCTCTCTTTATCTATCAGCCAATATTGTTGTTTTTGGTAATTTTAATGTTCATCACACTGAGCGGCTTGGCTCTAGAGTCAGTGACTCTGAAGGCATTAAAGCCCACAACTTTTACCTTTCTCAATCCCTAATTCAAATAGTCAACTTTCCAACTTGGTTTTCAGATAACCCGAATCATTTACTTTTTCAACCTAAGTCTTGTTTCTGATCCTAGTCAGTGTTAAGTTTCTCCACATTCACCCTTAGGTACCTCTGATCACAGTTTGATCTCTCTAAACTATTATCTTATTCTTTTTTATCATCAGAATCCACCTATCATCGTACATCTTAAAACTACCTTAAAGCTGACTGGGACTCTTTCCATGATTTTCTTTGTGATGGCCCTTGAGTAGAAATCTTTCGATTCCTGTTGACAAATGCGCTACTTACATAACTTTGTAGATTAAGGCTGGCATGGAATCTTTTATTCCTTCTCGATGATTCCAGGTCAAACCTCGCTCTTCTCCATGGTTTTCCTCACATTGTACTGCTGCAATTGCCAATCGAAACCATTAGTTCCATATCTATCAGCAAAACAGTTCTCCAGAAAACAGATGTCTGTTTATTACTGCTAGGAACCATTGTAAAAAGGTTCCTAGCAGTAATAAACAAAGTCCACTATTTTCAGGTCATGAAATCTCGTATTTCATCACAAAAATTAGGCTCTCAAGATTTCTGGAGAATCTTTAATTGTATCAATAATAAGGGCAAGTAATTCCACCTCTTTTGTATGGTTCAGACTTTGTCACCTCACCTAAAGACAAAGCTGAATTGTTTGCTAAGAACTTTTTGCACCAGCTTCTGTTCTGTTCTTCTCACCAGACAACATACCTGTTATAACCTTGCAGAAGTGTCCTCCAGAGCTGTTGTTCTTTCAAAACTATTCAACAAATGCTTATCAGATTTTTGTTTTCCAGCCTGCTGGAAAGAAGTATGGGAACTACTTTGTAAGAAGTTGGAAATGAAGTATGTTAACCCTATTTTTAAAAATTCTGGAGAGAGGTCTGATTTATCTAACTACTGTCCCATTAGTCTTTTTCTTATCATAAAAAAGGTTTTTGAATCTTTAATTAACAAAAACTTAATCTCTTATCTTGAATCTAAAAACTTACTTTCAGATCAGATTTCTGATGGGATTTTGATTTTCTCGTTCTATAGCTGATTTGCCAATCTCCCAGATATTATCACATCTAAGGTGGCATTGTTTGCTGATGATACTACTATTAATTCTTGTCATAATAAGAAACCGACTCCCTCAGATTGCTTGCAGGGGGTATTTGAGCTTGAAAAGGATCTCACTTCTGCTACTGCATGGGGCTCACAGTGGCTGGTAAACTTTAATTCAAATAAAACTCAATTTTTTTCAGCCATTCGTTTTCGCAATAATTTAGACCTTCCTATATTTAAGAACAATAATGTACTCGATGAGTCATCTACCTTTCACCTTCTGGGATTGACTCTTACTTTTGATCTTTCTTGGAAACCATATATCAAATCAATTGCAAAATTAGCATCTGCTAAAGTTATATCTCTTTATCGAGCTCGACACTTTCTTACTCAAGATTATATTTTCTATCTCGATAAATCGCAAATCCCACCTGATATGGAATACTGTTGCCATATCTGGAGCGGATCTTCTAATGATCCCCTTTCTATTTTAGACAAGGTGCAAAAACGCATTGTAAACATAGTTGGACCTGCTCTTGCAGCCAACCTTCAACCTCTGTCACATCGTCGTAATGTTGCTTCTCTTTCTCTTTTCTACAAATACTATAATGGGCACTGCTCTAAAGAGCTAGCGTCTCTTGTGCCATCTACTAAAATTCTTATGTTACTTGTGATTTAATTAAGTCTCATCCTTTTTCTGTTACTGTTCCTAAGTGCTCCAAAAACTCTTATTTGTCTAGTTTTTTCCCTCAAACATCAATTCTTTAGAATTTGCTTCTTTCATCTTGCTTTCCTGATTCATATAATTTGCAACCTTTTAAGTCATCTGTCAATCTTTATCTTGGTCTACAGTCTTCATCTTTTCTGTTCCAATAACTTCCAACATTAATTAGTGGTTGCTTGCAGCCTTGTTGGAAGCGAAGATGTTTAAAATAAATAAAAAATTTCCGTAAAAATTTTTATCAATGTAGTCAACAATCAAATAAATAATTCATAAAAAATCAAGCATTTCCATATTTCTGAAGAAAAGCTTATATGACTTATTTTTTCATGTTGAGGAACTATTGTTTTTGAAAAGCATTTTCTACTTGGTAACCAAAGTCTTGGTTTTAAATAATGTTTTAGCCTGTATCTTCAACTAAAGTAAATGGCTGAAAATTCATTTGGTCTACTTTAAAGTGATTATGCTGAGGTGTTGTACTAAAACATTTTTGACAAACCTTCTTGGTTTCACAGTTAGTTTTGTTGCTGTTGCAGATATTACAAATCCATATGTATCACTTGCATCATTTATTTTGTATAATTACCAGAAAAAACTTTACTTTTAAACTTGTTTAAAATTAAAAAAAACACTTTTTCTTAATTGACATTAAATACAAAATTATTATATGCACACACATACTGAAAAAATAAATATATTAACATGATATGGACACACAAACACTTATATGTTATCCTGATACTTTATTGAAATTAGCATTAAACAGAACAAAATTACTATAGTTAAAAATATGTAAACAACTTTTAAAATAAATTTAAAAATATGCAGGTAATTGAAATACGCATAATGGAAATAAAGTTTACAAGTTAATTTTCAAGTCCTACCTGGACTTGAACGTTAGGTAATTGATTTTGTCACCATTACTGAAAATGTTATATAAAAAATTTAAAGAATTTTTTTTTAGTTTTTTTTTTCAAATTCATCATAGTGATAACCAATCATAATCATTACAGTGATAGCAGTGATAGCAGTGATAGCATTAGTCAAAATAAAACAGTTTACAAATCAATCAGAGTAGCCCTATGTTGATACATAACTTTATTTATTTTTGCCTATGATAAGAACTACAAAACAGACAACAAAAGTAGAAAAAAGCAGCATAAAAACAGTTTATTGTTACAAATTAACTCTAGGATGTCAATTATTAAAAGTTTGACCATGGTTAATATACAGCTAAAGTTATTTCACAGTAGTAAACATAAAAAAAAAAAATCAAAAAGGTTAGACAAATGACTGACTATTTTCATGCATACAACATATCGATACATTTTGTGATATTTTATAACCCAGCTACAACCTTGTGAAAATTGGTTGTGGAAAAAAATTTAAATACTAAGTACATATAAATAAATATAATTATATAAATAGTAAATATATTTAAATAGTAAAAATATAAAAAGTTAACTTTACAATATATATCATAAACTTTTTTTTTTTAATATAAAGTATAAAACAACAGGTGTGTATAAACTAAATTTTTCTTTGTAATACTTTGACCTGTTTTTGTACAGATTGTCATCAGACATAAAATATAATACAAAAAACCGTTAAAAATATTACACACAAACGTCAAAGACATTAAAAAGAAGCCATAAATGACTAATAATGTAAATATATAATCATAAACTTTAAATTTTTTAAAAAATATTTTTATTATCATTTTAAAATAATTTTACCTGTCTGATAAGCGTATTGCTAACTTCTGAGCCAGTGCTTTGCATAATGATGTTTTGCCAGTACCAGGGGGGCCTAAGTAAAGAGGTAAAACTCAAAATAGCTAGGCAAGCACTTTGATTGAAGTATGTTGTTTTTAAGAAAAGTACAACAAAAACATGATATGGACCTATATTTGGGAACTACTTTGTAAAAAGTAATTTAGATTTACAAATCTAGAAAACCAACTTATTTCAGAAATTTTTTATTTTTTTTACTGGACCAGATGAATGAAAATCTGAAATTTTTCTTTTTCTGTCTTAATAAAAATAAATTTCCTTTGTAAAATCAATGTTGTGTTCAATGCTGTGTTTTTCTTTAACAATTTAGTAATTAACATAAGAAATTTAGATCAAACACTTCAAACTCTCAAAAAATTGTAACTATAATTATTTTATAGTATAAAAATGGAAGTTGATACAGGTTACTATTAGGAGATGTTTTCTCATTAGCCAGCATTATCTAAGATTCTAACCCCTAAACAGATAAGCATATATGTTGGCAGTGTTTTTAGTTTGATATGTAAAAATGTTAAGCTAAAACCTTAGTTACATAACTTAACTGATAATAATTGCTGTTTAATGTGTGCTAATTATGAAGGAAATTATTTTGACAATTTTTAGGGAATATGACAGTAAAAATATTTAAAAATTTAAGATAAATAGACTACCTATCCAAACCAAAGCCCTTAATCAATGCATGAACACTCCTATGCACACTCCTATGCTTAATTTTAAGTTTTCACTCTTAAACTTTTTTCACAGCAACTATTATTAAACTAAAAACCAATTTTATATAATTAAATTAAAATATTATAATTTTATTTATGAGTATTATTAATATGCTTTATATTTTTATTAATTTTATTACTAAAAACTTTTTACTTACACTTTTACTGTTATTTTACTTAAGTACAAATCTTTGCATAATTAAGTTGAATTTATGTTATTTGTAAAACATAATTTTAAAATATTTGTGAAAACATAATTTAAAAATATCTTAATAAGTTTTTTTAATACAGTAATTATTAAGTAAATAAACAGTAAAATTTATGATTTGTAAAAGTTGTGATTTAACCATTTACCAATTTTAAGTTTTAATATTGACTTTAAAATTTTAAATGCATGATTGTAATAAACAATAAATACCGTGTAAAAGTATAACTCTATTCCATGATATTATATTAGAATCCACAGCTCTAAAATAAATAATTTTGCATTATAATAGAAATATATCATTTTTGAAATTAGCATCTTCTATAAAACTAAAAAAAAACAATGTTATGATAAGAAACTTTTCATACTGAAATCCAGAAAAATTAACAAGAAATTTATCAAACGAATTATAACGAAATCTGAAAGATTTATAAATAACGACTAGTGAAAATGAATCAATAAAATGATTTACAGGGATTTGAAGTCCTAAAAATAGAGTTATTTAATAATAGACTTAATAGACTTACTTTAAGGGAAAAATTAGAACATTTATTGTACAGAAACTACCAACAGTGAACTAGTCTTAATGTAAAATAGCAGCAAGGACTCTGAAAATAATAGGTTTCATGACTTTTTTTAAAAATGAAAATAATTAAAGAAAAAAAATTTAAGTTTGATTTAGGACATTGCTCCCTAGTTATAAATCATAGCTTTCTTTTTGCCTATATCATTAAGCTGAATGCAAAAGTATGTGTAGGCTTTATAATTAAAACAGATTTAAAGTTATTATTTCATTTGCTTGCAACCTGTTGTATAATTAATTATAATGTTGCAATCCTACTTTTGTTTTTTCTGTGATTGTTTGATTAAATTATTAAATTATTTTCATCTCCTTTGTTTGATTAGATTATTTTTTACATAATAATAAAAAGGTTCATTTTAAATTATTATTTTTTTAACTATTATTATCACTTATTCCAATTACATCATTAATTTATTAACTGATAAATAAATAAATATTAAATTAATAAATGTTGAATAGCAGATTACAAAAGCAATCAATGTAAATACCTATCTGAAAAAAGAAGTGTAGTTGACGCATAGTTTAATAGCTAAAAATAAATTTAAAATGATTAAAAAACAATATTTAATATAGATATAAATAACAACACCTTATTTATTTAGCATTATAATTTGGCACACCCTGCATATAATACATACACCACATATTAAAATTCTTTTTTTTAATTATGTTTTTTTTTTTTTAGGAAAGTCATTGCAAGAAAAATGCTTCATTTGAACTCAGCTCTTTTGATCTGAAGATTTTCAACTATGTATAAAAAAAAATTAAAAAAATATTATATTATAAAAATATTATATTATAAATTTTATATTTAATATTAAATATTAAATATAAAAAGAGGAAGGCCTAATATCACTAGATAAATCACAAGAAAAATGCTTCATTTGAACTCTTTTGATCTGAAGATTTTCAACTATGTATAAAAAAAAATTAAAAAAATATTATATTATAAAAATATATTATAAATTTTATATTTAATATTAAATATTAAATATAAAAAGAGGAAGGCCTAATATCACTAGATAAAGGTGTTTATATAATGAATTCTCAAAATATTTTAAAATAATGAAAAGTAGTGTCTAAATAATTTTTTTTTTTTATAAAAGATATTTTAGAAAAAGCTTTTAAAAGATATTTTAGAGAATTTTATGAAAACTTATTTTAAAAACTTATCAGTAGCTTAATCTCCAATAAATTTTTTAAAACAAAGCTTTCTGTATGTAGCTTTCTGCATGTAACTTGTTCGTAGTTTTCTGCATGTAGCTTTTTTTACTACTACTAATGCTATTACTACTATCCATCTCTGAATGAACAATCTTATAGTAATAAAACTGTTTTTACTACTACTAATGCTATTACTACTATCCATCTCTGAATGAACAATCTTAAATAAAACTGTTTTTACTACTACTAATGCTATTACTACTATCCATCTCTGAATGAACAATCTTAAATAAAACTGTTTTTAGATTGTTGAAAAACATCTTTGTAATACTCCAGAATTTAATTTAGAATTAAAAAATATATAGTTCAATTTGATCATATGCTATTTAAATGAGGGTGTACCAACTTAAATATGTATGCACTACACTAAATAAGAGTGTATCACTATTAGGGTGTACTATTTTGAAAATTATTTTAAAATTTTATATTATTAGATTACCTGTTGTTTGACCTCCACATCAAAAACTAGACTTTCCCACATTCCTTGAAATTCAGCTAAAATAAGTTATAAACCTTTAGGGTAAGTAACAAGATATGATAAAAAACCTATAAAATAAAAGTTGTAAAGAGAATGCAGGAAAGGGGAGTGGTCTGGTTATCTAAAAAGTATTTAGACACCAAGCAATTGCAACACAAACTGACAAAAAAAGTGAGATAATTCATCAAATGTAAATAATTCAATGAATCAAAATTGATCTAAAAAAAACTTTATTTGCTTTAAATATATATATAGTCCATTTTAAACAAACAAACCCGAATATGACAACTGTAACCAATACAAAAGCAAAGAGATTTATAAAGGTAGAGAATGGAGCCAATAGTAAATAAATGGTCAGCACAATCCCAGCCAGCACAAATACGACTTTTAGTTGTCTTTTTAGAATTAAAAATGTATACCTTTTAGAAGTTTTAACTAAGATAACTATAAGACATCTAATAGCAATCATCTTCGAGACAACAAATATGATGAACAAATGAGACAACAAATATGAGCTCATATTTGTTGTCTCATTTATTTGTTATATTTTTATCAAATTTTAAACTCGTAAATTTTAAATTCTAAAAAGACATGTTTGTGCAGTCTGGGATTAAGGGGTCTAACTATAGCATTACATACAGTCATATAAACAGTGTATATATTATTTCAATGAGAGGTCAATAATGAATAATAATCTGAAAAAACATAAAGTACTGGACTCAGTTAGAGTGTTGCTAGTTATATAGAAACATCATAGTGTAATAATTTATGAAAAGCTTTAGAAATGTCAAGAGCAATAGTGAAGCTTTTGCTTCGCTGTGTCTATCTAATGCATGATAAAATTTTTCTAGATGTATTTAGCTAAATAAGAAAGTTTTGACAGTTTTAAACCCAACCGCTTTTTCAGTATTAAATTTTTGGGTACCTCATCCCCTTATTAACAAATTGCTATGTTTTACTGAATCCTTTATTAATAAAATTATGCAACAAAACTGTACCCCCATCCTACAAAAAATTGTCTTTGTATAATATAATAATATTTTTGATTTTTCTAGATGCTTTTAGTTAACAAAGTCAATTGCCAACTTTAATTCTAAGTGTTAATATATATATATATATATATATATATATATATATATATATATATATATATATATATATATATATATATATATATATATATATATATATATATATATATATATATAAATTAGTAGAAAATCACTTGACAAATTTTTTTTTTCATTTTACACTGTGTTTCATCAACAAAGACTCATCAGAAATGAATGATCAAACTAATAAAACTTCAATTTATTCCAAAAAAATTAAATTACAGGAAGTCGCAAATGTTCTAACTACTGTAAATTTTCACACATTTGTGGAATTTGCTGACACTATTATAAAAAGAGTTCTTTAGAAATGATTACTTGTGCTTTTTTTTATAAAAATATTTTTAAAAAAAGGGGGATTTAATGTAACTATTATTTGAGCTCACTTATTTTTATAGTTTTTTAGGAGAAACTTATTTTTGTGCCTGCATTTAGAAATCAATTCCAATTTTTTGTTTAACAAACATTCTTGGTTTGCATGTGTAATTATTTGAAATTTTACTTGTAGACATAGTATGCATTTTTTGGAAATATTGTTGTATGCAGGCGCTTTTAAAGATGGACCAATTCATTCATGATTTTATACTGAATCCTTAAAACAGCGCCTGCATACAACAATATTTCCAAAAAATGGAATTTAATTTTTTTGGTATAAATTGAAGTTTTATTAATTTGATTATTCATTTCTGATGAGTGTTTGTTGATAAAACACAGTGTTAAATGAAAAAAAAAATTTTGTTAAGTGATTTTCTACTAATTTATAATTACTCTGTTCTTTTAAGAACATTGAGCACTCTATTTTGTAGAATACATTTTTAGATTGTTTAAATATATAGCACTCATTTAATTGCATTTTTTGCAATTTAATGAGTGCTATTAGTTATATATATATATATATATATATATATAACATAGTTATATATATATATATAACTAAGTATATATATATATAACTATGTATATATATATATATATATATAATATATATATATATATATATACATATATATATATACATATATATATATATATATATATATATATATATATATATATATATATATATATATATATATATATATATATACATATATATATATATATATTTATATATTTATATGTATATATATATACTATATCAGCACTCGGAATATGGGTTGGCATTTGGCAATGCTGACCTAACTGCCAATTTAAAAGTTTTAAGGTCAGCAATTTCTTGCCGACCTTGTTTCTATGTTTTATGGTAACCTCTTTGTGTCAAATTTTGCCAACCTCAAACGGTTTGAGGTCAGCAATTTAATGCCAACCTCATTTTTCCTAATTCCGAGCATTTATATATATGTATATATATATATATATATATATACATATATATATATATACATATATTTATGTATATATATATATATATATATATATATATATATATATATATATATATATTTATACTAAATTTAGAGTTAATTTGTTCAATGATATTTTCTTAAGGGGTTTCTGTACCAAAAAAAACACTGCTAACCAATTTAAGAAATATTGTACCTTTCTTTCACTGATTACGATAGATAAATTAACAATTTGGCTATTGTAAAGTGATTTTTTGTTGATCCTTGAGTTTTTCCAGTCATACAACAAACTTTGTGATTTTTACCTCATTTTGGTATCAAATGTTTTTTTTTTTAAATACTGTTACTGGAGCCTTGGATCAAACAAATCCAAATCCAAAATGGTTTCCTTAAGAGATTGGTTAAAGGACTAACGATCTTTTGTTGTAAACTAAACTAGATCAAAATGTATCAATGTGATTCAAAAGTATATTTACACATTTTTCTGTGGTTACTTTAGGTGCTCCAAGAAGACCTAATGGTTGTATCAAAGAGCACCGCAGAAGAGCATTTAACTTAATAAGTTGAAACCCCCCGCAATTTAAGGGGGTAACAAATTTTTTATGGTCATAATTTTTGAATGCGTAGAGATTGTAAAACAATATTTAAAATTTATTGATGAATAAAAATTTAGTTAAGAACAGCAAAAAAAAACTTTTTATCAACTTTTGTTCTCATGTTTGGGCCTTTTTTGTTCCCAGCCTCCAATCAATGGAGCTTTTTAAAAAGCATCATTTTTTGTATAAGTATATACATACATTTGTTTGGATTTTGCTCCATGATCTCCAACACCAAAAAATGCTGAATCCGTCACTGCCACAAATCTCTTGTTTGCTTCAGAACTCAGTGTTTAAACGCTGCAAATGTTCAATAAATATTTATATACATAAAAGTTTTCAGCTTAAGACAAATATTTCAAGAAAATATGTAAAAAAAATATTTTTTAAATGCATTTTGAAGGTTTAGTTTTGAAGTTTTGCAGTTAGGTATCAGATTAAAATTCAAATTTATTAGAACCATTCAATAACAAGAAAGCAGTCTCATAGCTAGCTCCTTGAATTCACTTTTCTTCTTTTTTAACAAAAAAAGGTTTTTTATAAAACAATTTTATTTGAAGTAACTTCTGAAGCTTCTCCAAGCTCATCACACGCTCTACATAATTTTGAATAAATTTTACTGTAAGCACAGCAAAATTGAACATTTTATCACAAAATATTTTTTTAAAAACAAGAAAGTACGTTTCTTGTTTGAGGAAATTAATAAACAACATTGCAATTCATTTTTAAAAACAAGAAACATATTTCTTGTTTTGAGAAATAAACTTTTGGAATTCATTGTATCCAAAAAGTCTGAAAAGGTAAAAAGGAGGGAGTCTCAACTGTAGGCATTTTTTAAAACTATGACCTAGAATATCAAAAATTAACCAGTAGTCTAGTGAAATATACTACTCAAGACCTAGTGGCTGGTCTTTATTTATAAAAACTGCTTTCAGAAAAATTTCAGCTTTGATTCTATCCATTTTTACATCTTTTCAGACCTCTCTTTATTTTTGAATACAGAACTTTTTACCAATTTTATATTGTGATCTCTGTTAAAAGAACGCCAGCACCAAATACCTTAATGGTTTTACCATGATTTGAATTTTACCTCTGCAGCAGGTTCAATATACATCTGATAATAGTCTTGTTGATCTTAAAAGTGTAAATTAAAAATAATTTAATGCAGATAAAAAAAAAAAAGGTTTAAAATGACACTGCTAAAAACTATTACATTTAATTTTGACAAGATAAAATCAAAATGCTGTTCAAGGTTTGTCATTGGAAAAAAAATTGGTTTAAAGTTATTTTCATTGGATTTTACAACTGATTTTAAAAAATTTTGCAAACCATTGTTTTTAAAAAATTTGTTACATTATGACATAAATAATTTTTAATTAATAAGACTAAAATATAAAAACTTATGAAATCAAGTTTTACTTTAAAAATTGCAAAATCAGAAAAGTCGCAGGTCAAAAACTGTGATGCCCTGGAGAGAGAAATGTAGTCAGCTAATCTATCTTTGATTTCTTTGAGTAGAATAAAAACTCGCCTTATTTTAGAGAAACACAACTCAAATTTCATGAAATTCAATGCGTGTGAAACAGCCCCATATTTGTTAATTTCCACCGAATGGTTTGATTTTTCACCATAAGTTCATAATAATCTCTGCACTTCTCTAAATAAGTCTAAATGTAAATAATTTTAAAATTAAAAATTTATACATTTTGTTTTTGCAAAAAGGTATTTTAAAGTGAAGTAGTTTTACTATTTTTTAACCTTTTATGATTTTATGAAATAAATAGTTTATTTTCCAGCTTAACATTTTTATTTATGGTCACGACTATAGGAAGCCCTCCAACAGCAGGAGGTTAACAAGAATAATATTCAGCCAGGAAACTTTGCCAGGAAATCTTGTACAAACCTCTTTTAAATAACCAGAGCTTAAAGTGGGTGAACTGTTTCAAAAGCACCTAACAAATTTCTAATGCTTTGTATTTGGGCCTCAACACTATTGTGTTTAATAAAAACCACGTTTTTTTAGTTTCATAACAAATTTGTGCGTTTTTAAAATTTCTATTCCCGCCGACTGTTTGAAAATGCCCTTAAAAACTCAAAAAATGTAAAAATATTAAATTTTAAAAGAGTGGCGCGAGTATAAATAGTCATTCAAAATAAAAAAATAAAAAATCATTATTAGAAAAACAATACCTTGGGAATATATTTTATGACACTCCGCATATTAAAATATATATATATATATATATATATATATATATATTATTAAAATTTTTATGTAAATATATATATATATATATATATATATATATAAATATATTTTATGACACTCCGCATATTAAAATATATATATATATATATATATATATATATATATATATATATATATATATATATATATATATATATATATATATATAATGAGGATCAAAATGGGATACATGAGGATCAAAATGGGATATAAATATATATATATCAAAATGGGATATATATATATATATATAAATATATATATATATATATATATATATATATATATATATATATATATATATATATATATATATATATATATATATATAGCCACTAATATATATATGTATATATATATAATATATATATATATATATATATATATATACATATATATATATATATATATATATATATATATATATATATATATATATATATATATATATATATATATATATATATATATATATACCCTTATAGTGTAGTCGAAAGAGCGTTTTAATGTAAAAAAAGTCTCTTACGACTACAATTTTAATTACCTCGTCTCTTAAGCTGTTTTTGATTGTCATCGAAATGTCAAAGCAATTAATTTATGCGGAAGTACATTAAATTTAATTGTTTTTTAAAAAATTTTTAAAAAACCGCAATTATAACGACTAGAAAGTTTTTTTTAATTAGTGGTGTTTTTGTTATTGATTTAATAAAAAACATTTTTAAAACATGCGTAAATGTTGCTACATCGACTATCTTATAGCCTGACTCGCAACGGAGTGCTGCTACATCGACTGACAAATAGCCTGACTCGCAACGGAGTGCTGCTACATCGACTGACAAATAGCCTGACTCGCAAGGGAATGCTGCTACATCGACTGACAAATAGCCTGACTCGCAAGGGAGTGCTGCTACAACGACTGACAAATAGCCTGACTCGCAAGAGAGTGCTGCTACATCGACTGAGGGTTTGGTTTGGCCAGGCAGTCTATCAATTAAAAAAAAAGTTTAATTTTTAAAATTTTTTCTGGTCTGGTTTATTAACATGCTCTATAAAACTACAGTTTATGGTAAACTTTTTTTGATGCCATGCAAGAGACATGGAAGAGTATATATATATATATATATATATATATATATATATATATATATATATATATATATATATATATATATATATATATATATATATATATATATATATATATATATATATATATATATATATATATATATATATATATATATATATATAGCCACATATATATATATATATATATATATATATATATATATATATATATATATAGTGGCTATATATATATATATATATATATATATATAGCCACTATATATATATATATATATATATATATATATATATATATATATATATATATATATATATATATATATATATATATATATATATATAGCCACTATATATATATATATATATATATATATATATATATATATATATATATATATATATATATATATATATATATATATATATATATAATATATATATATCTCACTTCTGCTACAGCATGGGGCTCACAGTGGCTGGTGAACTTTAATTCAGATAAAACTCAATTTTATTCGGCCAATCGTTATCGTAATAATTTAGATCTTCCTATATTTATGAATGGTAATGTACTAGATGAGTCATCTACCATTCATCTTCTAGGATTAACTCTTACTTCTGATCTTTCTTTTAAACCGTATATCAAATCCATTGCAAAAATAGCATCTGCTAAGGTTGCATCTCTTTATCGAGCTCGACACTTTCTTACTCCAGATTCTATTCTCTATCTCTATAAATCTCAAATCCGTCCCTGTATGGAATACTGTTGCCACATCTGGGGCGGATCTTCTAATGATGCTCTTTCTCTTTTAGACAAGGTGCAAAAACGAATTGTAAACATAGTTGGACCTGCTCTGGCAGCCAATCTCCAACCTTTGTCACATCGTCGTAATGTTGCTTCTCTTTCTCTTTTCTACAAATACTATAATGGGCACTGCTCTAAAGAGCTAGCGTCCCTTGTGCCATCTACTAAAATTCATTCTCGTGTTACTCGCCATTCAATTAAGTCTCATCCTTTTTCTGTGACTGTTCCTAAGTGCTTCAAAAACTCTTATTCTTCTAGTTTTTTTCCTCGAACATCAGTTCTTTGGAATTCGCTTCCTTCATCTTGCTTTCCTGATTCATATAATTTGCAATCTTTTAAGTCATCAGTCAATCGTTATCTTGCTCTACAGATTTAGTCTTTTCTCTTCCAGTAACTTCCAACTCTTATAGTGGTTGCTTGCAGCCTTGTTGGAAGTGAAGATGTTAAAAAAATATATATATATATATATATTTATTTTAATTCGCCTCCTCAAGGCCGAGAAGGCCACTACAGACGAGGAGGCTACTTATTTGTGGCTATAACCCTCTCTCAACTCTATAACTACGAAACACGACACCTTGATGAACAAGGCCGCTGCGCGGAGAAACGACTTAAGCGCGGTACTACCAGGGACGTGGTGAGAATCGAACTCTGAACCACTCGTTTATGAAGCGAGCGCTCTACCACTACACCACTACCACATATATATATATATATATATATATATATATATATATATATATATATATATATATATATATATATATATATATATATATATGTATATATATATATATATATATATATATATATATATATATATATATATATATATATATATATATATATATATATATATATACATATATATATATATATATATATATATATATAATATATATATATATATATATATATATATATATATATATATATTAGGGCTGTACCGGATTTCGGCTCCGGCTCCTGCTCCGGCCGAAATCCGGCCATTTTTACAAATCCGGCCCAAATCCGGCTCCAGCAAAATTTTAGCAAATCCGGCATAATTTTAGCCGGAGTTTTGAATTTTGTCAAATATTTATTACATTTTTTTTGCCCGTGTTTACATGTATACCTAATATTTTATTTAAAAAAATAATTTTTTTTTGTAATTCTATATTTTATAAACCTCATATTTGTTTTGGTATTTGTATTTATATTTCTTTATAATTTAATAAGCTTAGTCTAATTTCAAACAACAACGCAACAAAAAATTCTGAAGGGAAGACACACGATATTCTACAATGATGCAGGTATAAAGACTATGATGTCAACACTAATCAAGTGATTGGATGAGCGTTTTAAAAGCATTGAAAAGAGAAACCTTTTTATATACTGACGAGGCTGGTTGACTCACAATTTAAAACTAAATTCTCCTCATTACAGGCAACACTGACAGCTGAAAAAACAAGATTGAAGTCAATCTGAGCATGCTGAACAGAAAATTGACAAAACTGAAGAAAATCCACCAAAATAAGCCGGGCTTAATAATTTTTCTACATCATCATCATCATTACTCTGGCAATTTATTGATAAAATTATTCAGTCTACGTCCGCTGGTGACAGGGCACATAAACAACAATTACTAAAAGGCATTAAAACTCAACTAAGGAAATATCCGAAAGAACCAGAAATAAATAGACACAATGATCCACTACAGTGGCGGAGTGACAAAATCCCTGAAAAAAAGTTCAACAGAATTACTATAAACTTTTAAAACATATGGCCTATAGAATTTCTTTAGAATTTCTATTAATTTATATATAGAAAATGCTATAAAACTTTTTAAATAACAACAATGAAGTTTAACAGAAAACAGCAGTCACTTGGTATTCTGAATAGTCCACATTGTTGACCATGCTCAACACCAAGTAGGGATGTACAGGATTTTGGCTCCTGTAGTTTTGTTTTGAAATCCGGCTCCGGCTCCGATTCCGGCCGGATCTGTCAGTAGAAATCCGGCAAATCCGGCTCCGGCCGGATTTGAAAAAATTAAATCCGGTACAGCCCTAATATATATATATATATATATATACAGCCCATGGAATTAAGAAAATTACCTCAGACTATTAGAGGTTGGTATCAGATCATATTCATATTATATATATATATTATATGTATATATATATATATATATATATATATATATATATATATATATTTATTTATTTATTTACTTGCAGGAAGAATCCAATGGCTTGCTGCAGATAGTTCATCTTCGTCAATTTCTTCTGAAGCAGCACCTTCTGTATGCAATTGAAAAACATGAATGGCTGCTTGAAACTTCGACTTATCAATTGGCTAATAAAAAAAATATTATTAATAAAAAGTCAGCTGGTTAAATAAGTAACTAATCTATTCAACCAATAGTAATATATCTCACAAAAACATCACTTATATCTATCTATATATTATATATATCTAACCACAGGAAATGTCTAGATCAATTAATTATGATAGTTTTCTATAACTGGACCTGAACATTTATTGTGGTTAGATACATTCAACTAATATAATTCTATCCAAATCCAATATAATCATAGTTTACATATTGTTGAACTTTTATTTCAATAAAAAATGATAATTAAGCAATATTTTTTTTATATTTTAGCAACATATATCACAATATGCAATTATATTTGATTAGATTATGTTACCCATAATATACTTCAAGAAAATATTCTTAAAGACATTACCCATTTAAATAATAAACTTGCAAGATTGTGGATATTGTTGATTGTAGAGAATGAATGATATCATTATAACTATAAACTTTTATTTGACTTTTTGATAATTACCTCTACTACTAAAGTCAAAACAAAACATGCAAGATCAGAGGTTATGATCACAAGTCTCGGAAAAAAAACACTAAATATTTTAATATTTTGAAACATTACAATCATCAAAGATTGCCAACACGCAAGATCAGAAGGTTATGATCACAAGCCTTGGAAAAAAAACACTTAACATTTTAATATTTTGAAACATTACAATCATCAAAGATTGCCATAAGAAGAAAACCCTAACAAAAAGCCAATGTGTTGTTAAGTATCAACTAGTACATAAAAAATTTTCATTAAATTTAAAAAATTTTTTAAAAATGTTTTTGTTGTTAAATTAGCGATGTGATTAAAGGGGCTTGATCAATCATGAAAATAATTTTTGAAAACTGCTTTACATCCAGTTTTATTTTATTACAAAACAACTAGGGTTGTGGAGACCAAAATAAATTAAAATCTGTGTATAGTGTGTTATAGTTACATATATATATAACTATAAATGAGTGTCTAATGTCATACTGAAACAGCCTGCTTCCAGGGACTTTATTAAATAAATTGGTTATCTTATAGCCTGTTGCTACAAAGAAGTGCTGCTACATCGAATGAGGGTTTGGACTGGGGCAGAAATCTTTTCTTTCATTATCTTTTTTTGTCTACTTGTTTTTATGAAAAATGGTTATGCTATAAAGATAAGCAAAATGAGTAAACAATTTCTGATCTATACACACTTAATCTCTTATCCTCTTGAATTTAACAACTTACAACTAATAATAATTACTATCTGATTATCAATACAGATTTCGATCTTCTTGTTCTACTGCTGATTTATTGACATTAATAACTGGCAGGTTTTATCATGCATTAGATAGTTTGAAGAGGTTGGGGCTATTACCTCAACTTCTTTTTGGCATGAATCAGGGTTGCCAGAACTTTCTACATATTAAATGCCAAAAGTTTAGTTGTAAAATGCCAAAAAAATGTCATTCTGCCCTAAAAAATGCCAAATTATAAAATATTTTCATGTTTTATTTCAAATTTTTAGTGAATCATGTAAGATTTAATAGTCTTTTTAAGAACTTTTTTAATCTACTAAGTTATAAAAAAGTATTATCACATTAGGTATTGTGACCACACACTGCTTGATTTTAGGGATTTTAGGCTGAATTTCAAAAGACAAGAGGTTTTTCTTTAGATTCTATTAATATGTAAATATATGAGCTGGAATGTGTTGAAAATAAAATCCTAAGCGTTTCTTCTTAGTCCAAAATTGATACTTTCCAAAATCCAGAAAGTAGTGTTTTAAAAAAAAGGTAATTTTTATTATTTTAGCTATCTCTAACTATAAATATTATAGAAACCCATATGACGATCCAATGGCCTTGTCTTCAAAATGTGGTTAATTTAATATATAATAACACCTCTAATAGTTTCACTAATAAAGTTCTTAAAGAGGTTGAAGACTTGTTTAGAAATATTAACTGTTAAAATTTGTATAACTATAATAATTTTATAACTACATTTTAAAACAATTTTATTTTATAAACATTAATTTTTATCAATAAAAAATGTAATATCATTTTAAAAATCTACTTAAGTTAAAAATCTACCTAAGTTAAAAATCTATCTAAGTTAAATATTACATATCAAATGGCTTATCTTTCAAGGGAAAAAATAAATCCAGTCATTCAGTTTGTTTTTGTTGCTGTAACAAAACAGACAATTACTCTCTTTATAGTATGCCACCATTGGTGACACTAGTTCAAGACTAAGTACACAAAGGATTCAGTTTTGATATAAATGCGTTTCACACTGGACATTGCTGCTGTTGAAAAAAAACTCTTTATGCCAAAAAGGTTATTATATCATTTTATAATAAGCTTTTTTATATATTTTACTAAAAGTACAAACAATTTCGTTCACATCAAGGAAAGCCTATGAAAATGATTGAAGATGTTTAAAAAATTAGAAGAGAGTTACTTATAAAAATTGGAAGGATATAAACATTGATTGTCCAACTGACAATCAATGCTTATATCCAAATTGTAGTATTGGACAAGGGCAGCCACAAGATCTTTAATTTAAGAGATTAAATCATTGAGTCAAGTTGAAAGTTTAAACTCATTCTGCAAAGATTGTTTTCAACTAGTTAGAAAGGGCATTTGGCTCCCATGCACAAAAACACTTGCTGTTCAAAATTCTATGAATCTTATTCTTTTCAAGGATAGAAAGATGTCAGAGCAAATAACCTCAACTGTTCTAATAAAGGCTGAAAATTCGATACAATTAAAGGCTTCTAGTAAAGGCTGAAAATTTGATACAACTATCCACTGGTAGATTTTAATTTATTGGTTTATTTATTTTTAATGACTTGCTGCGATATTCTATTCTAATTTTATACTGCTACCTGTAGTACTAAAACTGTAGCTCCAAACAAATAAAGTAGTCTTTACTGATACTTGATATCAAGAAAAACCATGATGCACTAAAATGTAATATTCTTAGAGATTTACAAAAAGTCTTGGTCATCTAGGTGTTTTAACATTTTATAATTTAATTTAAACGGCAATATATTAGTTTATTTATTTTCAAACAATTGACAATAATTAATATAACTCTATAGTATGGGATTTTACAGCTAAGTGTTAAAAAGAAACGAATCGCTACGGCTATGAAGCATTGGAGGACAGGTTTTGATGTAGGTTTAGTAACTTAAAATGAGACAGATCAAGATAAATTAGTCTCACAAAGAGCAAGTAGGTCTGGTGAACTTTGCAAGAAATAAGACTCAACAGAAGAAAAGTTACTTCAAAGACCACGAATATTAGTGAATGTCAGGTTTAGAAAACTTGGTGACGACGATGGTTTTTCAAGTTTGATAGTTTTTGGTACTTTATTCATTTTTAAATTTGTTAAAGAACTTGACTCAAAGTATAGTCAGTACTAAGTCATATCAAATTGCTCCAAATATGGCTTTGACAATGCAAACGAAAAGTATAAACAGGGACACCATCCATGCGCAACATGTCACTGTTAATACTTTGATATTTTTTAGCTGTTGATGGAATCAGCCTCTCTGAGAGCTACCAAAGAGTTCGGGAAATCTGACTACCAGCCGACCTCAGAATCATAAAACTGAGTTTTAGAGCTGTACCCTCATTAGAAGATAATAAAATGAGTTGCCTAATCATAAAAATAGAGACACAAGCAAAACCCATGCATTGCGTCAAGAAGATCCAGCATTTAACATCCTAACCTGGAAACAATGTATTATAAATATATCTGTGCCAGCCTAATAGATAAAGAAGGGGTGCGAGGCTGGTCAACAGATAGAATCTGTTTACCCCTTAAATCTTTGCCTAGGATGCCTTCTCTTGAGACACCATCTCTAGCCTTTATTCAATCAAGAGCCCCTAGGCAGAGGGTGTTTCAAGTCGGAGCTGGCTTCTCCTAGCTTTTGCCTAAAAAAGTCAATAAAGAGATGCAACTTTAGCAGATGCTCATTTTGCAACAGATTTGATAAAAGGTTTCCAAGAAAGATCAGAAGAGTTGATCCTAGAAGATAAAGAGTAGTTGACTCATCAAGTGCATTACCGTTCATAAATATAGGAAGGTCTAAATTATTGCGATAATAATTGGCTGAAAAAAATTGAGTTTTATCTAAATTAAAGTTCACCAGCCACTGTGAGCCCCATGCTGTAGCAGAAGTGAGATCTTTTTCAAGCTCAAATGCCCCCTGCAACTAAGCAGAGAGAGTTGGCTTCTTATCGTGACAAGAATAAATGGTAGTGTCATCAGCGAACAATGCCACCTTAGATGTAAGAATATATGGAAGATCGTTAATGTAAATTAAAAAAAGTATAAGGCCAAGGAACCTTGAGGAACCCTTGAGGTAACAGAATAAAAAGAAGAGTGCTGTCCATCAAGGACAACTTTAATACTACGATTGGAAAAGAAGGATTCAATAATCTTAAAGATGTTTCCAGATACACAGTAAGAAGAAAACTTATGGAGAAGAACAGCATGCCAAACTTTATCAAGCAATGCCAAACTTTATCAGCATGCCAAACTATATCTTTATTATTTAGTTTACAACTAAAGTATGAAAATTATTAAACAGAAGTGAAAAAATGATGCCGTTCTTAAAGTTTCAGTCATTGGAGGAGCTTTAAATTTGGTTACAATATCTTGGTTTTTACTTTCATTTATAAGGTCAATGGCTGGGAAATAAAAAGTAATTGAAAGACCCTTTCTCCTTCAAAACTTCATGAGAGTTGAATTTTCTGACTTTTTCAAAATTTCGTCATCAAAATGTACCAATTCAGTTTTAGTTTTAAATCTTACTAAAACAAAATCCCCATTATTCAGATCCTCCCTACAGACCTATTCAATATCTTCCAAATTATTATTCCAAATTATTATTCATAAAGGAATAAAACATCACTTTTGCTGGACGATGTATCTAACTGGTTTTCTATTCTAGATTTTTTTTGATAGCTTGTTTTTCTTAGCATTTAATTTAGTATTAAAAATTTTCTATTATACTTCATCTTTTTCATTTTTTTTTCTAGTTGTTCTTTCTCTGGACTGCCAGTAAAAACTCTGGAAATGCCTGGCACCTGTTTAGGTTTTTCAGCTAGGCCTTTATTATTTTCTTGTACAGTTTCGTTAAGGGTTAGTCAGTAATTGCACTTAAAGCAAAATCCGCATCAGTAAAAACCAAGCAGCCCATTGGCCAAATGCCAGTGTTTTTGAAATTACTTACAATGTTTTCACTTGTAAAAGCTGTTATATAAGCACAGTGTTTTAGTTTAGGAAAATTTCTGACAGTTATTGTTTTCCCAGGATTAGACACCATCCAGTCATTAAACGCAATGCTACAAAAATTTTTAAAAGGCCCATATATTCCAACATCGAATGACTGAGTTGTTTGGGGAGCAAGACTTAGTAACACAGTTCCACTTTCTCTGCGGTATTTGATATTAATAAGGCTTACATGTGACTTGTGATTGTCAAGTAATAACAAAATCAGATCATCAGGAGAGCAGCGCATATGTTTAACTATATACTTAATACAGAAGGAAATAACTCAACAGTCATCGAGCCAGATTTGTTTCCCAGTGCTAAACCTAATACTGGAGCATCAGCTATTAAGTCCTTTACATTTCTAATCCTGGGAAAGATATAAACAGGAGGCATGCTTTATCCAGATGCACTAGTAATTCCCACAAATGTGACTAATTCTCCTTATTCAGTTGAGGCAGCTTGTGAAACTTGTTTTATTCCAGTAGTAAATGTGTACCGTTCCAGTACTTCTCTCAGGTTTTTGAAAAAATGATCCACTTTAAATTTATTTAAACCTGTGCTTCCACTCAAGCTTTCTGGCTTTCAGAAAGATATTGTTGATGTGTCAAAAACCCTTGTCATCATCTGTCCTTTGCTTGCCTTTTTTGTTGCCACTCTGGAGGAATTTTGTAAAAATAGAAACATACTCATAGGCAAACTTTTAAATATGTAAATATGTAAGTCTAAATCAGAGCATTTTTTAATATAAGCTTCTAGCTCAGATTCCTGTTTTGTTGTAAACACTTGTCTATTAGTAAACTTGTTCGCAAATTTTGGCGATTCATGTTCACTCTCATTGCCAGAGTCATTCAAACATAAAGGGAGCATTTGGCCACGGCCAATTGCTCATCCAATATAGGCAGACGAATGCTCCCCAGTACACCAAGTGAGAGAAATATATATTTTTTTAAACTTTTTGAGTTTGTAGGTTAGAATTGACAGTATTAATTCTACAATATTTGAAGTAAAATCCCAAAAAAAATGTTAACAAAAACATCATTTTAAACAAAATTTACAAGTAATAAAAACAAAATTTTTTTACCTTTGTGTATGTATTTTTTAATTTCTTCTTTAAACAAATGCTAATGTAACTAAACACGTCTGGACAACAAATGATAGACGATCCTACAAGCGCCATCATTTCGTGAGAAATTTAAATCAAATAGAAAATAAATACCCTGGATGAATGCTCCCTGTGGTCAAATGCTCCTCTCTTTCCCCTATTTGGTGATTATGATGTTACTCTAAGAATTGACTTTCTTTATTAACAAAAATATAAAATTGTTTATTTCACCAATGATTGCCACATTAATTTTGCAAATACAATAAGCTTTACTAACTTATTGTTTTTTAAATCAAAAAATAATGAGTTCATAGTTGTATTATTAGCCTTGCTGAGATAATTTTTTTTTCTCAATTGTTATTTACATGCCACAGGCCAAGAAGACCATTACAGTTGAGGAGGCTCTCTTAACTGTTTAACTCCAAAACACAAATCTTGAAGAATAAACTTACTGTATAAAAAATAAGTTAACCACAGTACTAATATGGAGGTGGTGGGATCAAACTTCTCACTTATGAAGCAAACGCTCTACCATTTTCATACTTGCTAGGTGCCAAGAATAAATACAATTTTTTCTATCAAAACACTTTCAACGTTTTTACATGTGTGAAAAAAAATTATTTCTCTTTCATGTGTGAAAAGAAACTTTTTTGAAAGTGCTTTATTTTTCCCAGCTAAAGATAATTTATTAATTTAAAAATATTTTTATTATAAAGTATAAAGAATTTTAATTATGTTTTAAATGATTATGAAAACCATATTTGCTTTTAATACATATCTAATATATAATGAATAAACAAAAGTCTAACATCTCCTTTTTGATTTGAAATATATTTTGAATACATGAGTTGAGCAAAGCATAAACCATGCTAACAAAACAGAAACTTAGCTTGATTATTTTAAAAGCATTTTAAAATAATCAGGCTATAATCAGGATTTCTCAAAAATCAGGTTAAATGTCAGATACCCAAGTTAGCTGTTTTCTTCCAAAAGAACTTAAGCTATTTAATGCAAAATCCATAATGGAAAACTTTGAAAAAATAGGCCATGACAGACTTTGTTAAAACATCATAATTTTTGAATTACTTTTAGTTAAAAGCATAAATTTAGTATTTTTTTATGTTTAATTGACAGGTACCACTAGTTAAAACTTAAAAAAAAACCTAAAGAGTAAATAATTTTGTCTAAAAACCTAAAGGGTAAATAATTTCACGTAAAAACCTATAGGGATAAATAATTTTATGTAAAAGTAGGAGCATCATTCAGACACTCCTCCTTTTATATGAAACTATTTAAGAGCAAAATATTATATATATATATATATATATATATATATATATATATATATATATATATATATATATATATATATATATATATATATATATATATATATATATATATATATATATATATATATATATATATATATATATATATATATATATATATATATATATACAGTATGGTGCCAAACTGAACCAGAATGCATAATATTTTTACTTTCTTATAAAGAATTAAGCATTTTGAGAATTAATATTGCTGGTAGGAACTATTATTAAAAAAACAATTTTTATTAAGTATTTGTTGAAGAAAAATATTTACTTACAAAATAATAAATGAAAAACATGGTGAATCACTTTTGCACCACGATAAAAAAACTGTCAATTTTTGTCAATTTTGTCAATTTTTAATATTTTGTCCATAATCTTTTAGCTTTTTTAACTGCTGCTAATCTTCTATTTATGCTCTTTACAAGATTTTCGCAAAGGTTTAACGAAATATTTTTCCACTGTTCTTGAACTCGTTCATATAACACATTAATGGATGATGGAGGGTCAGAATAGTTATTAACGAGCGCTTTTTTTAACTGTGACCACAAATTTTCTATTGGGTTCAAATCAGGACTTTGTGCTGGCCATTCTAGCACTTGAAAGTCCTGCGAAGCTAACCAATTCTTAACCATTTTAGCAGTGTGCTTTGGGTCATTGTCCTGTTGAAAGATGACCTCATTTATTGGGTAAGGCATATTTTCAACAGTTTCCAATAATTCATGCTGTAAAATATCAAGATACATTTCCTTATTCATGTTTCCAACTATTCTTCAAATAGGTCCCAATCCATAAGCCGTCATACACCCCCATAGTTTAATATTGCCTCCCCCATGTTTTACTGTCTGAATAAAATCTTTTTGGGTTAATGGTTCACCTTCTCTTTTCCAGCTCCATTGGCGGCCATCTGTGCTATACCGATTAATTTTAGTTTCATCTGACCAAATAACTTTCTTCCAATCATCTTCGGTAAAGTTTTCATATTTTTTTACAAAGTTTAATCTTGCTTTGATATTTTTTTTACTAAGTAATGGTTTTTTCTTCTTTTCAATTGCTCGAAATTTACTTTTTATGAGATCTCGCTGCACTGTCCACCTGCTCACATTTTTTCCTGTATCACGTTGCAAAAGTTTAGCTGCATGAGATGTCGATTTTGCTTCTCCAGTAGTCAAATATCTGATTACTCTTCTACTGTCTACCGCACTCAACTTCTTTGGTCGACCGCCAACATTTTTTTTCAGAACATGTCCACATTTTTTTCTAATTCGTTGCACAGTACTTTGACTAACTTTTAATTTAGAAGCAATTTTACGAGTTGTATTTCCTTCTTCGATCATCTTTTTTATTAAATTGCTCTCTGTCTTTGAAATTCTCATTTTATTAAAAAACTATCAAAAGCAATAAATTTAGACAATAAAATTTATGAAAACAGAAAATTATTTTAGATATAAATATAGTCAATTTATTTGCACTCAAAATTATAAAATTAATTTGAGAAAAATAATAAAGATATTGCCTTCATCAAGTATGGTGCAAAACTGAGTCAAAAGATGTTTGTCACTAGATAAAAATACTTGTGAATTGGGGTAAAAGGAGGAGGCGTAAAAAGTCATAAAAATTAGCACTTTAATACTGTAATAATCCAGACAGCGCTAATATATCGAAAACAAAATAAACCATAATTTTGTATTTTTTTAAAAACTCTGGTTCAGTTTTGCACCATACTGTATATATATATATATATATATATATATATATATATATATATATATATATATATATATATATATATATATATATATATATATATATATATATATATATATATATATATATATATATATATAATGTTTTTATAAAAAAATAAAACCTACTGTAGATGATGAACCATCAACATCAAATATACTTATGAATTCAACATTAGCAGCTAGAAAATCATCCCCAGAAAATTCTGTATAGGTATCACCATATTTTAATGGAATTTTTGTTAAAAACTCAAATACATGCTTTTTTATATCAGTTGACCAAGCAACACTAAATCAAAATATAAATAATTCAAGATAAAACAAGTGTTTAATTAAATTATTTATAGTAAAAATGACTTTGAAAAATATCGTGATTACATTATGTATTAAGATAGATAAAATTGAGTTAATTTTGCTAAATATTTTATTCATTAAATGAAACACTGATAAAAATTAAATAACCTATTTATAAAGAATAACATTAGACAACAAAAAATCAAAACAACCACATAAAAAAATCACCTTTTTTGATTTTGACATACTTCAATGTGAACTATATCATTTGCATGAGATGGAAGCGCTTCACTTAATTCAGCAACTTTATCCATTTCAATAAAAAATTTATTTTTCTACAATATAAATTTGAAAATTTTTAAGTTTCAACACCCTTTGTAAAAAGTTGAAACAATAAAGAAGCAATCATAAAGTCAATAACAATTATATTAAAAAAAAACTCTTTTATCTGAGCAACCAAAATAACGAGTAACAAATGCATATTTTTAATGTTAAACTTTATTTAAGCAATATTTTTGCTATTGTATTTGGTATGTAAATGATAAACAACATTTACTACTAATTTATATATTTATGTTTGCCTTTACTAACATGAATTTTTGAATGCAAGCATCATGGAGTCTTAGTACAAAAATAATCACATCACATTTGCTATATGTATTGTATATATAACTATATGTAGTCTGATTTGCCATTTTGAAAAGTTCAAATTTATTGATTCTTTTGGAATCAAAAGTAAAAATCTAAAAAACATGTTTTTAATCAAATCTTTTTAATTTTTTTTAAAAATTTGATTAGGATGATCCTTTAAATTACCTGAAACCTATTTCACTATATAGCCATTGGAACAAAGACATTAAAAATTGAATTTATTGGTTCAAATAAATCCAGTTTGAGACAAATCTGTGATTTTATAGTAAAAGATTACTAGTAGCACCATGGGTTGGGATTGCCACATCCTCCTTTTAGCATAGAAGACTGTAATAATTTAACAAGTTACTATTTTATCAAGCTAATAGGTGTGCAAAAAAATTATTTAATATATATTCTATATATATTTATAGATAGAATATAATATTGGTATATATATATATATATATATATATATATATATATATATATATATATATATATATATATATATATATATATATATATATATATACCAATATTATATTCTATCTTACAGTAATATTTAAATGTTCACCTTTAATTAATCAGACAATATCTGACTTAAATCTCAGGTTGTCTGATTAAGCCACAAAGTTGTCTAACGTTTTAAAAGTTAAAATATCTAATAAAATTACAAGATAGTAAAATTATTTAATGTGAGATTTAATTCAAACAATGCTTTATGTCTAATCGTTAAATTGCACCCTAACAATTTCTTATTTAGTACTTATAAAGTTTTCAAATAAAATAAAAATTTGTTAAAGTTTTTATTTAAAAAACAAGTTCAGAAATCAAATCAACAAGCACTTTCAATACAGAGCTTGTTCAATTCCCCCCCCCCCTCTTCAAGGTATATCGTGTTTTCCATATATTTAGTATATATTTTATTATATCTAAAAATTGGTGAATAATAAGTTAGTAGATCTAAGTCACAAACAATTGATAAATAATTTTCTTAAATATTTTTCAGTTGCCATTATTATCTATTTAGATTTAATATTAATAGGTAAGTTCCCACTTACAAAATTGTGAACAAATTAGCTAGAAAACAACTTGATAACACTAACTTTTAATTACTTTAAAATTCAAGCTTTTAAATATTGGTTGAATTGAAAAGCTTTTTTTTTTTTTTTTAATACCTATAATTAGACCAAGATCAAACAATTAATAGAAAATCATACAGTACATTCAGTGAAGACTACTTACTGCATACATACTATATAGATGGATGGGTACTACTCAAATAACATAGATTTAAATTTCATAACAAAAAGACTTTATATTATACAGTTTAGCGAGTCAAAAAATTTAAAAAAATGTTTAAACTAAGCATAATTGTAAGCTTTGAAGGGTATTTTATACAAAAATATTATATGTTCAACAAGTTTACATTTTTAACTTTCAAGTTACAAGAGAAAAGATAAGATAAGAAATGATAAGGAATTAAGAAGACAATTTGTAAAAAAACTAATCATGTTGTAGAAGCTTGGAATATCCTAGATCAAAAATATAAATATGAATGATACAATGGAATATCCTAAATTCTGCAAATGATTTTAAAAACAAACTAAAATCTTAAAACTAGGATATTAAGAATGAATATAAAAAAGTTTTTACCTCATATTATAGCCCTGTAGGTCTAAAAATATTTAGGATTATCTGAACTTCATGAACAAAAACAAGATTTTGGGAGCCTGGGTAAAAGTAATACACAAAAAACTTTAGGCCCCAGATTTTTTAAGAAATTTTACCCCATGTCTTAAATAACAAAGTAATAAAAATTAATAATTAAAAATGTCTTTAAGATTTTTATACTTTTTAAATCCAATTTTTATACATCATTTGTACAATAACTTTTATATATTTACTAATTACATAACTATGTGATCACTTTTATCAGTTAAAAACCACAATTGTCAGTTTGAAACAGATTATTTTTTAATGAACTCATAGTTCAAAATTGCTTAATTAAAGCAATTTTAAGTTGTAACAATTTAATATGAAACTAATCACTATTTAGCTTTGAAAAAATATTTCCATAGAGTTTTTTCTCTTTTTCAAGTTGTTGTTTTAATAATAGTTTAGCATTAGCTAATTGTGATTTAGCAGCAGAATTTGTAGGCTCTAACTTCAAGGCATATTCAAAAGATGTCACAGCGTTCTTAAACTCATTTAATCCAAGCATAGCCTCTCCTAGGCGAAAATAGGCTTTAACATTATTTCGATCAAGTTTCAGAACATTTTCACACTTTTTCTTTGCATTAATAAAATCTTTTAGTTTTAAATAACACAATGCAGAATTACAGTTAGCGGTAATTAAAAATGGAACACCCTCATTAAATTGACTATCTTTTTCATTAATGTTTACCATCTTTATGATCCGCTCATAAAATCCATTTGCTTTTTCATACTCAGCTGCTTGAAAACATTTTGCAGCACTTTCTTTTAACTTTTTGCTTCTTTCAATTCTTTCAGGATATTCCATTTCATAAATTTCTTTGGCTCTCTCAAATTTAAACAAGCAAACTTCATATTCAATTTCATCTGCATTTGGTGGAATGTCAAATTCTTTATTTCCGATATCTTTATAAGCGTATTCTGATCGTACAAACACTTTTGATTTTTCAAACCGTTTCATTTTACAAATTGCTTTTTCAATGCCATCAACAATATTATGCTGGTACCCCTCACCGATTACAAATTCAACATCTCTTTCATCAAACAAGTTACCTTGGTAAGAACCTCTAATATGAATTTTAACGGATGAATCAATATTTGGTTTATTAGGACTATCACCAACTTTTATAATTCGTTTTCTGACACCACCATCATTTGTAACATTCTCATCATCAAATGCTAATAATTCAATTTCAAAATACAATGTAGAGTTTTCTGGAATTCTAGGAGGTATACCTTCTTTTCCGTAACCATAGTCTGGAGATATTTTAACTTCACAAATCTCATTTTTGAGCATTGTAGGCATACACATATCCCAGCCTTTAATTACAGAATTTCGACCAACTATAAAGCTAAAAACTTCACCTTTATCACGACTAGAATCAAACACTTCACCATTAGAGAGTTTACCGACATAATGAACATACGCTTTACAGCCTTCAAATGGCTTTTCCTCTCCTTCACCACATTTAATTATTTTTTTAAGTATGCCTCCGTCTTTCTTCGGTGTTATATCTTCAAATAGCTGGCTATTATCTGTTGATTCTGTCATTATATATTCTGCAATTTTTTGTTATCTATCTAATATCTAATATCTAAAAAAATATATATATTTAATATACATATTAAAAGATCCTGAACAAGGTACAATAAAAAGGATTACAGTTGACGCAAGTGTGAAGTATTTGTAGCAACTACTTTTTCAATTCAGAAAATAACATTAAAACTTTGAGATCATAGAAATACAACTTTAAAAGCAAATCAAAAAAATTATAAATTACAAATATCTTAACAAACTTTATGCTTAAAATCTAATAGTTAATAATATAAATGCATAATTAAACTATGAAATGATAAACAAAATGAAACTCATAAAATTAGCTTTATTTTAAAGCCTATTGCTATCAACAAATTTAAAAAAACTAGTCTTTTTTTATGCAGCATATCATATGCTGCATAGCAGCATATGCAGTTGTATTTAATGTATTTATTATAAACTTAATAAAAACATTATTTTTAATGGATTCAAAGTAAATTCTTGTAAAGTAAATTAATAAAAACTATGCTTTTATTAATGCACCAAACACGACTGCATATGGCAAATAAATCAATTTAATTTTAGAGTCTCATAAATATTGGTTGAATACATTTTGAAGAAATTATCTGAACACTCCAGAAATTTCTATTTTTTTAATACTATTTTTCTGACAACGACTACCGCGTAATTTCAAACTTTCGCTAATGACGTAAAATCTGAGTGAACCGCAAGCAACAAACAATACAACTTATTTTTAATTTTAATTAATACGGTTTTAGGGACCCCCACAAATGCAGTATCAAGTTATCACATACTTACTAATAGAAAACAATCGCTTTTTTATCAACTTAATTTTTCCAAAACTTTATTTAATGAAGTAAAATGCCTATAGATTGTAGTTTACAAAATATTTTTATTTATTGAATAACACATTGAATAAGATATCTTAAAACTTATAAACGTTAAAAACTAATAAATAACTTTGTCATCCAAAAAAGCACAAATTTTGACCCCAAACAGGCGTCAAAATTTTAACTTTTTTCAAAACGATGTTTTATGGTACCCAATGTATCATAGTGCTCCAATCTTCCCTATAAAAATATTTTAACTTAACGATTTTTAACGGTAGTAAACTACTACGTAGTCAAGCACACTAAAATATGCAGATGATCCATTCTGGAGTAGACAAGTCAATATAAATTGTTCTCGAAAAGTTATAAAAAAAAAAAAGCTTTAATAAAACTCTGCAAAACTCATTAACTTTTAATAAACCAAGTAAAACTATAAACCAAGTAAAACTCAATTTAATGTAGTAAAAATACCATTTTAAAAAATAATAAGAAAAAACTAAAATAATCATAAATCGTTTCAAGCATTTAACAGTCGTTTTTTATGAGAGTGAGGCAAAATCGCCAATTTGAAATAGTTGGGTTTTTAGATTTTCTGAAAATTTTCAGGGATGGATTCAAATTATTTCAGTAAAAATAATCTGAACATTCAAGACCATTCAAAGCGGTTTAAAAGTAATTATAGTTTGAATTTTCATAAAAAGTTCAATTAATCATTGTTCAAAGTTTTGTTTGGATATAAACACTTTTATGCAGCCATTTGAAATGAAAATTGCATTGCAGTTGACTCATCAGAAATGCTTAAAAAAAAGCATTTCTGGTGAGTCTTTATTGATGAAACACAGTATTAAATGAGAAAAAATTTTGCTAAGTGATTTTCTACTAATTTGTAATTGCTCTGTTCTTTTAAGAACATTGAGCACCCTTTTTGTAGAATACATTTTAAATTGTTTAAATATATATATATATATATATATATATATATTATATATATATATATATATATATATATATATATATATATATATATATATATATATATATATATATATATATATATATATATATATATATATATATATATAACTTTTGAGCCGCTTTAAATTATGGTCTTATATGTTCAGGTTTTTCTTCTTAAATAATTTGAGTCTATCTCTGAAAATTTAAAGAAAACCTAATCCGAGAATCTAACTATTTTTAGAAAGATCCGAGAACCTAACTATTTTGAGAAAATCCGAAAACCTAACTATTTTAAGTATTTCAACTATTTCAAGTTCATTCTTATAAAAAATGGCTCTTAATCAGCATTAAAGCAGGCAAAACAGTTAAGTTACCAGACAGAGGTGATTATTGAAACAAACAAGCAAAAAAACTTACTCCTTAAAACTCACCCACACACACCCATAAACTGTTACTGTTACTATGTGGGGTATATATGTAAATGAAGGGAAACTTTATATTAGGAAAATTGTCCCTCCCCATTTAAGGCGGTAATAATTTTAAACATTCTTTTCGTATGTTATAACTAAATAATATCAAAAAAATACTTAACTCTTTACAAATAATGAATGGAAAAAACGAAAACGAAATCGTTGAAGAATTTAGCCATCATTTTCAAAAACTACATAATACGCCACAAAATACAAATTAGAAATAAATCTTCTTCAAATTCCACATTTAAGCAAAGAGCCTAACAAAAAAGTAACTTCAAAAAACTTCAAAATTGAAAATGTATTTTAAAGCTTAAAAATAATAAATCCAACAACTACACAGTGGACCAAAGTAAAAAACATGGTGGCTAATAAAAAGCTTGTGGACCAAAGTAAAAAAAATATATTCTCAAAAATTACATTATTGTATACCGTTTTATAGCTTAAACATTCAGCTTTTATAATATGTATATTTTTGTTTAATTATTGTCATATGCTTCAAAGTGTCATGTGCTTCAAAGTGTCATGTGCTTCCAAGTGTCATGTGCTTCAAAGTGTCATGTGCTTCAAAGTATCATATGCTTCAAAGTGTCATATGCTTCAAAGTGTCATGTGCTTCAAAGTGTCATGTGCTTCAAAGTGTCATGTGCTTCAAAGTGTCATGTGCTTCAAAGTGTCATGTGCTTCAAAGTGTCATATGCTTCAAAGTGTCATATGCTTCAAAGTGTCATGTGCTTCAAAGTGTCATGTGCTTCAAAGTGTCATGTGCTTCAAAGTGTCATGTGCTTCAAAGTATCATATGCTTCAAAGTGTCATATGCTTCAAAGTGTCATGTGCTTCAAAGTGTCATGTGCTTCAAAGTGTCATGTGCTTCAAAGTGTCATGTGCTTCAAAGTGTCATGTGCTTCAAAGTGTCATATGCTTCAAAGTGTCATATGCTTCAAAGTGTCATGTGCTTCAAAGTGTCATGTGCTTCAAAGTGTAATGTGCTTCAAAGCTGTAAAATAAAAAGCTTTTTTTTTAAACTTTTTTTTGAATTTAGATTAAAAAAAATTTTTTGTGTTACTAATAAGCATAAAATAGTTGTTAGTTTTGAACCTCTCTTTTTGATTGCATACTTGATTAAATACATGTTTTGGCTTTCAAATGAGCTATTGCAACACTATTGTGCACGTAAGTTATGTCAAACAAAATGATTTCAAATGAACTCGTATTTGAAGCACTTTTTTCAGTTAAAATTTCACTTATATAGTCGAATACTTTTGCGCTCCAAAGTATAACGATAATTTGAGACTTGAAATACACCACTCTTAGCAAAAATAAGAAATAACTGTCGAGTCCGCACCCTAGAAAACCGCAACACTCCTGTGAAAGCTTATGACCATGGGATTCCAAAAATGTAAAAATTAAAATCATCTGCCTACGTCCGTGAAAGAAAATCAATTTTGAAATTTTCCTTTATTACACATATATGTAAAATGACAGCATTTCTATTTTTTGCATTTTTACAGCATTCTTTAAACAAAAATACATACAATAAATAAAAAAACATTATTCTAAAGGGATAAAAAGGTACATTCTGTTCTCACATAAAGATTTCTAATGTAAGGTCAACATAATTTATTCATAAATCTCCAATTCTGTTTATTTTGCGCTCAGTGTTTTCTTCAAAGATTTTTGCTGTTAAAATCAACAAGGCACATCACAAGCCTTTTTCCATATTCTGGATGACTGATTGGGCGTTTGTATCTTGCCCAATTTGTACTAAAGCAATGGTGCATTACTTCTGTTGTTTGTTCGCTATAAATACCAAGTGGCATCTTTTTCCTCAGGATAAATTCCTTTATATGGAAAAACACAGCATGTGTTTTTGGTGTGACAGTTCCAATCGGCAATGCAAGAAAAGAAGCTTAAAACTCATCAATTTTTTCTTCAAATTGACTGTGCAACTTGTTTCCAAAACAGGATGATACAACATTTGCAAATTTTCGAAAAGTTTCAATGATGGGAAAAACTTGAAAAGCATTGTCTTTTTCAGCCAATGTTTGCAAAAAATCCAAGTTCTTCAGCAACTTATTGCAGGAATTTCCTTCAAATTGTCCACCATGAAAGGGTTGATGTTGTATATGCAATGCTTGAAGCCATTCATCTGCCTTTTGGTCATGAATCTTTCAGAATCTTAAAAAGATAATTGACTACTCCAAGAAGTAGATGCAAGTCCATTGGAGGTATTAGATCAATTACCAATGCAGAATCTTCGAGTGAAAGAACAGGCTCATGAACCACGTTTCCGAATTTCTTTGCATTTTTGGTATTTGAACCTGCTGCAGAGAACGCATGGAATGACTGCTTCAGAGAGCCAAAAGTTCTTGGAGTACCACAATACGCAAGATTAGAACTTTCCGCTGTGCACCATGTACATGGATGAGAGGATGAATGAGCCTGCAGACCGCACAGGATGTTAGTCAATTTCATGTCACAAAAGATAACAAAATTGACCTCTTGAATGTCGAGAAGGGAAAGAATGACTTTCACATTGTTGTAATTTTCTTGAACTCCCTCAGCCACAGCCACAAGAAGTTGTTTTTTCACTCCTGTATTCTTTGATGCTTGTGATGTAAGCAAGCGTTTGCTTGGAGGTGAAGCTTCACTTTGCATCTCTGGGTCCAATTCACAAACTCCGAGACAGACTTTTAAGAATCCTCCACCGCCGTCGATCCCCAATTTAATGACGTGGTTTGAAAAAATCTTCCGTGTCAAAAGTAAATCTTTAATAAAA